TAATCGGAGATTAGTCACCGTCGTACTAGTTCACACTAGTTGTTTATTATCTTTCATTGTATCACTCGATCAGTTTGTATCTAAACCCATATTTAAGAATTCTCATGACATAACATCACACTCATTTCTCATTTGTGTCGCAACACTAATGAACGGCTAACATTGATGTATAAGATGTGCATCTATATAACGTATATATGTTTTAGGTTTGAGACATATAATGTGATCAAGAAGAAAGAATGTTTAACTAATTTTATAACCCACTTACTTCTCTTGTTACCATAAGAACAATCGAATGAAAGAATGAAAGAGATTTGCATAATTGTTGTGAACTGATATAAGGTTCGTGATCTTTGGTGATTGTGTTCTACATAATCCGAAAACAACACAATTAACAAATAGCGTGGTAGTTTTTAAACATTTTGGAAACTTCGTTACACTTTAAGTTATTTTCCCATTTACCTGAACTACCTGATTACCATAATGTTTTAGTTGAACACATGTGTATTTCGTTGGTATTCTGTGTATAAATAATAACATTAATGGTATTTTTTAACTAAAGAAACAATAATGGTATTTTTTGAACATTTGGAAACCGAGTAACCTACAATAGCCGGTAAAATGGTATTTTGTGTAAAAAAAAAACAATGATTTTTTTTTGTACATTTTTGAAACTTCGTTGCCTTTTAAAGTCATTTTCCCTATCAAAAACAGGTCCTAACACTAACATTTAAAGGCCTTTTGTGAAAATGAAAGTGAGGACCTATAATTGTTTTTGTAAGATATTATTTAGTAATTTTACTACCGTTAAATTTAAAATTTAAATTTGTTAACAAACATCTTATAAATTCACTATGACAACATCATTTCTTCACTTATTAGTAATAAGTTTTAATTGTTACAAGCAACTTTAAAAAATAAAAAATAAAATGAAGTTTTTTATAAACATTGATTTTATAGCATTTTTTTGAAGAAATTATTTATTACATTTTCCCAATAAATATTCTCAAAAAATATGTTATTAACTAAATTTAAAGTTAAAGTGTTTAATCTCTCTTGAGACATAGTCAATCAAAAATAAGAATTTAAAAAATTTACTTTTGAAAAGCTTTTTTGTCTTGATACAATGGCAATGTAAATAGTCAACAATATTGTGTATGTTAGACAAGAAACTAAAAAAGTTTATCATTTTAAGAAATTTAGTATTGTATTAAATGTACTATTTTCAATTGGTAAATCTTTTTGTAACAACTCAAGTTCGTTGGATAAATCATGAGCATTGATGTTTGAGATATGACCATTTTACAACATTTTTTAAAGATTTTTTCAACTTGTCTTTAATTCGCTAGTATTGAGTGATGTCTTTTATGTTGTGAATAAGAAACCCAAAATGTTTTCAAATTGTTTGTATTGTTCAAACTTTCTTTCCATTTGATTAACTGTGTACACAAAATACCCAATCATGAATGACTATTAAGATGAAAGTTTATGTACTGGTTCTGATGACCCAACTTTACTCTCATCTTTCTTTTAAATTCTTTTTTAATTATTTTTCTCAACAAATACTGAATCCATTCCTAAAAAAGAAATTATAGTTCTATGCATAATCATAGATTGAAGTTGTTGTCTCAGGTTATTTACTTTATGCAATATATGATATCATATAAAAATAATAGTTATAAATTCAAATCTATCAAGTTTATATTATCTTAGACAAATAGCTTCATTTTTTATTTTTGTATGTCTGTTTATCAACAAGTTTATACAAAACTTCTATTATTTTAGGAGTTTGAGTCTCTATTGCTTTTAAACTTTCAATCCTAATTTCCCACATTATAGTTGCTAAAGATCTTAAAGTGAAACTTTGTTTCGGAAAAATATCTTTTAGAATTTATGATTAGATTTTGATTTTTTATTAGATTTTTTGGGAAAAGTGTTTTTTTGTAAAATATGAAATTGTTTTCTAGAGTTTACATTAAAAATATTTGTATGTTTCTTTAGATATAGACATTTTTTCTTAAATTAGTGATAAATTTTAGATTTTATTATTAGATTTAGATTTTTTTATTTTTTTTCATAATTAAATGACTTTAATATTGCAAATGAATGTTATCTTGTGTATATAAGTAAGTGACACGACTAATTTTCATTGATGATAACACATAAAAATGTCTTTTACAAAAATAATTATAGATTTGTTCCAAAATTCGGAGGCCCATTAAAATCAGAAGTCCCGTACGACTGTGTTGTCCGTACACCCCAGGCCCGCCACCGATCAAAAATATATTTGTCTTACATTATTATGTTGAAGACAAACTTGTCTCAACTTCCATTTTATGCTAAAAGTGAAAATTAAAAGGTATAAGTTGAAGTAATTAAATGGCTGTGGTAACATATGAATATAATTATTCATAGGTCATATTTGATTAATGACTAAATTGACCTAGAACTGTCTCTTAATTGTTAAACAATTTACATTCTCTTTACCATTAAAAGGTTTGAACCATTAGGTTCAACACTCAGCGCGACTTATCAAACCACCCTTACCAATATAGATGTCAAAATAAATACTTAACAAAAAAAAAAAAAAAAAAAAGGCAAATTTAACTTACTCAAAACCATATTTGTCCGTATATGAGATGACGACAATAATAAATGGTGATAATTCGTTTTTTTACATTACTATATTAATATGGTATGGACCTCTTCATCGGTCTCATGCTGTTCATAGATTCATGGGACTACCACATGCAACTCCATTCTTTAATCCTATAAATTTGAATGTTGAGTTGATGATTACTATTTAATTAGTATTCCCTGAATTTGGGTTCGGTGTAAGCATGAAGTACATGTGGTCGGTTAAATGGACAATGTCTGACTTAGTAATGTACTAATGTACGTACCTGAGATTACGATATAAAAATACTAACGGAATTAAGCTGTTCACACGAAAACATTTAAAGAAAATAATTCTATCGGTGCGTTAAAAAAGGTTAAGTATTTCAATATATATATATACTATGGATATTATATGTACAACTGTTAATACACGGCGTTTAACTAGAACATGACACTATGAAGACGTTTATATCATATGAATCCACTTTCCCATTATAAAGTCTCTTAAAATCTTGAATACTTAATTTTGGGTTTTCATACTTGTGTTCTTACAGAAAGACAACTGGTATACATTATTAAAGATCTAGGAATTAGTCAAATACTTGGTGATCAAACTTGTATCAATGTTGGGTTGAACATCAAATTAAATCTTTTTTTTTTTTTTTTTTTCCATTAGAGGAGGCATGTAATCAGGTTGCTTCACGTTACAAAAGTTGACTATATACATGCATACATCAAATAATGGTTGAATTTAGATTTTTCAAATTAAACGGTGAGTGGAAAACTCATAGATGGTAGGTAAGTAAACTGGTGGCCACAAAATGTCTATGGTCGACTGACGTTAATTTGATAATTTGGAATGGAATAAAATTTTCAATTACACATAACATTTATGATATCCTAAGCAAATTAATTCAGATTAAAGTTTTAAAAAATTATATACTTCTAATTTGACGTATCACTAAAATCACCAAAATAGAAGGGTTTTATAACAAATGATAATTAATTTTATAAACAAACAAATTTAGAAAGAATTATGTATATGCTCTTATTATATACAATTATTATATATAAAATATTATATTTATCCAATTTATAATTTTGTAAATATCATATTTAATCTTTATAAACTTTCACAAAAAACATTTAGTTTTAATATTCTATATTTATTTTTAGATGCATATTTTTATTAGTCCATTAGTACCCTTATTATAAATACAACCAGATCATAAAAGCTTCAAACAATTGAAAACCCATTTACAAATTCTGAACTTTAGTCGATGAAATGATTAGAGATAGAGAAGGGAGCATTTGACTTTAAAAATAAAAAATAAAAAGAAGAAAAGAAGAAAAAGAAAATATATTATAAATAAATTAAAGAATAAAGGATAAAGAAAGTAAAGCTTTCTATACCAATCTAATTATATTGGTCTTAATCAAAATTCATGAAACGCGGAATTTTCTTTGATCTTATTTATTGACAACTGTGATTTTTTAGAGTTTGGAGGCAATTGCAAGAACCCTAATCTAACATTAATGTCCATTGTGTATTTGTTTTTCCATATAACCACAACTTGCGATTAAAAAACCCTAAATTATGGATAAATTTTAGTTTTTTTCTCTAGTTGAGGGAATTAATGGTGGTTAGCATTGATATTTTAAACTTAGGTTATAAGAGGATATAATAGTCAATTGATTAAATAATTATTAGAATTTATTACAAATATATTTAAAAAAATATAAAACAAATTTTGGATAAAAATATAATCATTTTGAAATTTTATGAAAGGTTATAATATAATATTTAAAAATTAAGACTGATAAATATAATATTTTAATGTTTAATAAGGGTTTATTTCTCCTTTTACATAATGGGTTTTGCGAACTATTATTATTTTATAAAATTATTAATAGTTTCTAAAGATATAAATATTTTTTTAAATAAGGATACATATTTTTAAAATAAGAAATACATTTGCAATTTTTTAAGCTTTATATATTGAAAAAGATACATATTATTTTACGAAAGAAATAACATATGAATTGTTTTTGAAACCACTTGAGATGATAATTTTGTAAACAAAAAATCCAAAAACTATCACTGAAATACCTTAAAAGTCAAAAGATTACCCCATTTCTAATTTTCTCCTCTGAAATTTAACCATCATTTCTAACTTTGTTGTAGTTGCTAAAAAATCTACACTAGCTAAGTCTTAACCATATATCATATCTAAGTTATTTCTAGGACAAAACCAATTAGTTGAGTTGTAATCCCATGTGAGGGCAAAAGAATAAATAATGAAAGAAAAAAAAAAAAAAAAAAAAGTCTTCATATATGTGAGGTCAACTGTGGCATATGCAATATTGTCTATATGAAGGGAGTCGTGTAAGCATAACACAAAGCAAAAAATGGTTGAGAAAGAGAGAAGTCTTGGAAAAATGGAGAAGGGAAGAGGAGAGAGGTTGATTTTGTTTGCAACTCAGGCACTCTGTGGGTTTATTCTTCTTCATTTTATGTATGTCCAATTTTTGGCCTATAAGGTTACACCATCTAAACAAATAAAATGTACGTTTTCTTTCACTAATATATTCATCGTTTTCAATTCTTCCTACTATTTTGTGGATAATTAATTTCGATGTTAATGATTTACAGTAATTAAAGTTGAATCATATCTATCAATGTGAATTGTAGTTACAGGGAGACAAATCTTATCAGAATCGAAGGCTGATCATTTGATCAATGTCGTTAGCAACGATGATCAACACCAATCTCTGCAATATCTTTTATCAAGACTACTTGAAGGTCTCTCTCTCTCTCTCTCTCTCTCTCTCTCTCTCTCTCTCTCTCTCTCTCTCTCTCTCTCTCTCTCTCTCTCACACACACACACACCTGCATTTATCTTTTCCTTTGCATGTTATGTTTATGTTTTTTTTTAGTGCATAATCTTTAATAAATGACATATAATTTGTCTCTCTTTTCACAACATCAATGGATTGTTACTTACATAAAATTCAATCGATTAGGTCATCAATGTATCATGTCAGTGACATGCTCATTATAAAAAAAAAAGCTTGTATTAGAATTTGTGTCTGGCTTTATGCGCATCAGCTTACAGATGTCGACTTTTCTTGTTATTTTAATCTTATTACACAATGGACACCATCTGCTACGAGCCACGTTCTTGTGAAGACGAGGTATTAATGTCAAACAAATAAAATATTCTATGAATGATGATTGGAGACATAATGATTAATGAGTCATATTTACTTGGGAAATTTTACTGAATTTTATATTTGAAAACAGGTGAAGATCGAACCAAGTTTGATTCAACAGGATTTGCGTGTGATAAGGGTTCATGGTCACTAGTATGTGTTGCAGACAAACCTGTAAAAATTGACATGAGCACAATGCGAGTCCACCTTCAGCCGTCGGATCTGAGATTCACACCGGCCGGTGAAAACACCACCACCGTTGTCCGGCCATATGCAATGCAAGGAAATCCGTACGTTATCAACGACATAACTCCGGTAACGATCACGAGCTCCGAGCCAGAACCACCCACTTGTGATCATAACCACCAACATCCAGCTGTGATCTTCTCATCTGGTGGATACACCGGAAACATATTCCACGAATTCAACGAGAACATTATACCTTTATTCATCACTTCTCGACTTTTCAGATCTAAAGTGCACTTCATCGTTGTCGATTACAAACCTTCATTCATTCAAAAATACAGACGTGTGTTTTCGCGCCTATCGGATCATGAAATCATAGATCCAGCGGTGGATTCAAGCGTGCATTGCTTTCCTGGAGCTGTAACCGGTTTAAAATTTCACAAATTCCTTGGCGTAAACACATCAGACAATCCACAAGGCTACTATTCAATGCCAGATTTCAGAGAATTCATCAGACAAACATTCAGATTAAAAACACGAAGCGTTTTCGAGACACAGAATCCTCCTGTTCTACTTCTAATTTCTCGCCAAACAACAAGAAAATTCCTAAATCAAGCAGAAATGGTGAAGATGATGGAAGAACTAGGGTTTCGAGTGATCATCGCTAGTTCAGCAAAAGAAATGTCGAACGTGGAGAAGTTTTCGCGGGTGATAAACTCTTGTTCTGTTATGGTGGGGGCGCATGGAGCTGGGTTAGCTAATGAGATCTTTCTGCCAGATGGGGGTGTTATGGTACAGGTGAGACCACTGGGGTTCCAGTGGGACGTCGATTCTTTTTACAGTGAACCGGGTCCAGAGATGGGATTGAAGTATTTGGAGTACAGGATTGAACCGGAGGAGAGCTCGTTGGCTGACGTGTACGGTCTGGATCATCCGGTGCTTAGAGATACTGCGTCTGTAGCGGCAAAAGGAGGATATGAAGCTGCACGAGAAATGTATTTAGATAAACAAGATTTGAGAATAGATCTTGATAGGTTTAGAGAGACACTTGTTGAAGCGTTGAGAATTGTTGGACGTCGAATTGATGTCTCCAACGCTTGATTATTTTAAATTCTTTTAGGAAATGCATGGAATTGTTTTTGATCATAGTCAGTATCTTATAGTTAAATATTTCATACTTAAAATTTATATATAGTTTTCAAGGAATAAATTAAATATTCTTTTACATTTTACATTTAATCTTTTTATTCATATAAAATAATAAACGTAGAATTCATTAGTTCTTTCTTAATCATCTTTTTTAATTTTAACATTTGTCTTGATCTGGTAAGGAAAAAAATGAATAGAAACAAAATATAGAATTATATTTGATTTCTCTTTCGGATGAGACCCTCTTTAGAAGAATAAATATGTGTTTACTTTTTTCATTATATCTGAATATGTCTTTATTTTTTGATGTAACTAAACTCAAAAGGAAGGACCGCGATCATAACCTGAATAAGATTGTGCATGGGGTGGGTGTTACTCTGGATTTGAGATACTAAAAAGAAATAGATGATCGTATTCTAGGGGTTGAAACTGAGAAATACTCCAAATTGTTGTTGATCATAGTATTACATCAAGCAAACCAATGCTATGAAGCAACCATAGTCTTACATCAACCAAAGGAATGTTATGGGGCAACAATAGTCTTAGATCAACCAAACGAATACTATGGGGCAACCATAGTCTTACATCAACCAAACAAATGCTATAGGGCAACCATAGTCTTACATCAACCAAACAAATGCTATAGGGCAACCATAATCTTACATCAACACATAATTGCACAACTACCAAACAAAAGACCACTCTAGCCAGAATGCAACTCGAACCTAGGAAACTTAGATAAACTTCATCAAGTGTTTAGACCATGCCTCAAATCCCTAAGTCTTTATAAGACAAGAACAAGAAAATAAATTTTCCTCATAATCCTTGAACAAAGTCTATTCGATTATTTCAATGCACACACCAACACTAACATCTTCAATTTCTCTAGTACTATAAAACTGGAGTTTTACTTAATCCCAAACTTAAGAACTTCAAAACGACTGTCGAACACTAACCTGCTAGAAACAACATATTCCACAACCAAACAAATCAAGGGCGCACAAACTTAGAAACCCGAATAGATTATCGGCAATACATCGTTGAATTTACTAAAACTCCTAGTAGTTTTAAGAACCTTTTATTGCAATGTCGACTAAGTGTTGGATGGATCGACCAAATTACCATCCTGGTTGACAAGGTGTCCTGAAACTAAGTTTATCGCAACCAAAGTCACATGTTTAGATCTTGACAAAAAGTTTCCACTTTACCCGACCCTTCAATACTTCAAGCTAAAGACCCTCAAATAACCTCAGTTGTTGACGATGAACACTATAACAATCCGATCGAACATGAGGTAAACACTCTAAACCCATAAATCTCATAAATATTGGCGGTGCATTGGTGAGCCCTAAACGGCATCACAACATACCCTTGATGATCAAAACCCACCTTGAAGATTGCCCACTAAACACCCTTTTACTCACTCTCATTTGATGATAACCTAAAAGAAGGTCATATGTAGAAAACATGTGTCACTATTAACACGTTGTCGCATGCGTATTAAACAAATAAATTTTATCACTGCTGGTAGCACAGGGAAGCAGGGTCGAATCCTCAGGGACACAGTCTAAAAGTCAATGTCTTTTTGCATCAGGCACAATCTAGTCAAGAAACAAAAATATAAAAGGGGGATTTTTTAAATTAAACTAAAAAAACTAAAAAATGCAATGATATTAAAATAAAACGAAAATCAATAATAAAAACGGTTTCAACTCTTCTACGATTTTCCTAATCATGCAACTAACCCAGATCTAATTATTCGAGATGTGTTCTATTTAAGCTGGTAGTAAGAAAAACTAACAATCCCTAGTATAATCTCTTTTACCTAAACTAGTTAATCAAAACAAGCTCTTTAAATTAACCTTAACTTTTTATTGTTCAATTAAACAAACTCTTAATTAAATCAGAAAAATTGCATTAAGTTCTTTGTAAAGTTTCCAGTAATATCCAATACTTCTCACAAGCTCGGAAGCGTAAATATACGATTTTTCAATTTATAATAAAGTCAAATCCCAAACACGGAACTAATTTATTACTTGTTACTTATTACCAATTAACTAGAACAATTACGGATTCTATTAACTGGTTAATTGGAATGATTAAACCCTAATTACGTGATCAAACTAACAAGAATTTAAAACCAACATTCATTAAGAACAAAATTGAAGAATCTAAATAGAAGCACAAGTCAAAAAAACAAATCTAATGATCAATCACATGAAAAGTACTAGACTAATACATAACTGAAAACTAAGGTTTAGCCAAACATAGCTAAAATTTGATGAACACAGACATCAAACAACTAATCTTACTAATCTAATTGAAGGAGGTGATCTACAGTCTTCAGATCTTCAGAAATCGTTGAAATCAGAGAAGAAATACCTCCAAAATCGTCTTTTTCGTTGCCTAGAGCCTTAGGAGTCGACTAGGGCACCAAATCTCCTTATTGGAAGGTTATGTGTGTCTATTTATACGTCCAACAGCAAGAAACGACATGCATGTGATCACATGTATTCAAGTTGCGATCGCATGTTTTGAAGAAAACGCGTCTCGAGCCTTTATAATGAAGTAGGATGTTATTTTGGAACTTTTTGGCAAAGTTGCAATCACATAGGAAAAAGTTGTGATGGCATGTACATAGGTTGCGATCGCATTTATTCATTTTCTTCTCCCAGATGAATTTTAGCACTAAAAAACCTCGAAGACATGTTGCGAGCATAAATTCGAATGCATAAAGGCTCCATGTGATCGCATGGACCAGATTTGCGATCACATGTTTTTCCTAACTCGTTCGAAATTTTGTCTAGTTTTCAGAACATTTTGAATCTCGTCAATCAGAGTTACGGCTCATGAGATATGGTCAAAATACTGACAGGGTGTCAAAGCTGCCAACAACATCATTTAACTTCAGATTGTAGAATCTATCTTCGTGTGATCAATTCGACTGAATGTTTCTTAACCAAAACATCTTCCAAGCATTCCTCAGAATTCTTCATAAGTTCCAAGCTCCATTTTAAGCTCTGAACGCACATCCAACTGCTCTCAAAGCGTTACTCCACTCGAACTATCTAAAACTGACATAAAAAACCTGACTAGTATGGAAATTCTAACGAAAGACATGAGCTGAACATTTATATATAATATTAAATCCTAAGACGTCTATCAACAGTAACATTCTCAAGTTTTACAACTCCACCACATGATTTTCTACAAAAATACAATTTCATCCTTCTGATCGTTTCATCCAAATAAAGGAATACGAGACTCTAACCGTTTGCTTCTCCCATCGATTCTCATCCGAAAAAAAAGGATTACGATCTCATCCAACAAGAAAGAAAACCGAATCCTCAGTGACAACCTCCTACCGCTCTATTGCCGCCAAAAAATGCCTGCAACCCTGTAGTACCGAATCCTCAGTGACAACCTCCTACCGCTCTATTGCCGCCAAAAAATGCCTGCAACCCTGTAGTGTTGGGAATTTCGTTCTTGAGAATTCAAGACGTACCGGTGAAATTCTCTTTCCGAAGTGCCTAACCACTTTGATTTGAATTCCGATTGTTTTGCTTTTGTTTGATTTCATTGCTATAATCGAATGATTTAAGTCTGTATATGGATATAGGATCAGGAGACTTTGCTTTGTTTTGGTTGATTTCATTGCTATAATCGAATGATTTGAATCTGTATATTGTATCTTCATCGAAGGAAGTTAAGAGGGGATAACGATTCCCAACGAATCAGCCTTCGAATCGACTTCTGTCACCAACAAGTCTACCGTCAATCACCGCCACCAACCATGTGAGCAATTTCGGTGAGTGGTTGATTCTTTCAATTTCCTTATAATTGTGGTCCAATTGCTCCTCTTTCTAATACTTTTGTGTTTTTGAGCGATGTTTTCGACTTTTTGGGTTTGAGTATCAACATCCAGTCCAAGAATCAAGATCAGGTTTCTGTCAACAACAACACCTGCCGTCAATTACCACCACCAAACGTCAGCCACCAAACGCTTTTCTACGTTATTCTTCACAACTCGGTATGTGTAAGTGATTTTTAACTTCTGTATAATTGAATTGATGTTGGTTCTGTTTTTCTTAAATGAATCCTCCAAATATGCTCTTTTGTTGTAGAGCATGAATTATGCTAAAATAATTGTTGGGGTTACTGCAATCTTAGCCATTTGATAAAATCCAACACTAATAATAACAACATTCTTAATTAGAAAAATTCAAATAAATTAAAAAAGGTTCTAAGGCTCTGTTTCACATGACTAAAAACAACAGTTTATAGAAGAAAAAAGAAAGGGTAAAACGGTAAACACATATTAATACTAAAAGAAACAGCCATTAAATTATAAATATACAATACAAATGTAATCATATTTAACCATAATATCATTTAGTAACTTAAACTAAGCTTGATATATATATATATATATATATATATATATATATATATATATATATATATATATATATATATATATATATATATATAACAGCACATAACAATCTAAAGAAAACATAAAAGTTATTGATTTGTTTTAATGTTTACTTATTTGGATTGTTAAAAATAATATATAAACTAAATGTTCAATTAAAAGTAATTATTAATTATAGTTATATTAATAATTCTATTATACCATTCTTAAACCCAGGAAAGAACATAAAAGGAATTGGAAGAACAAAGGAAGGGTAAAATGGTAAATATGTAGTAAGTAAAAATGAAACAACCATAACATATAGCTTTCCAGAATTTCAAAATTATGTAGGTTACCAACTCTTACACTTTTAATAAGTATTTATTGTTTACATATGTATGTGTTGGGGTGTGCTACTCAGCATTAATAAATTGATAATTGCTATATTATGCAATTAGACTACAATTTAGACTTCTCATGACTTGATACAACAGTTTCCAAAAGAAAAAAAAAAGGTTCTAAGGCCCTGCTTCACATGACTTGATACAACATATTCGAGAAGAAAAAAAAAAGGGTAAAACGGTAAATACATATTAATTCTAAAAGAAACATTCATTAATTTAATTATACAATGCAAAAAAAATATTAAAAAAGAACAATGTTGAAAAGTATCGAAATATTACAATATTGGAAAAGGGAAAGACTAAATTGACAATTGAACATACTTTTGTGAATGGACATTACAAGTAGTTTATTTTGAAAAAATAAATTATATTACATTTTCACCAAAGACAATAATGCCCTTAACCGTATTTAGAATTGCTAGACGGAAATTTTCGAAATAACTTTTTTATCACAAAGTTTCAATACCTTTTAAAACAATTTAGCTAAAACATAAATCACACACAATGGAAATTTATGAATAAAGAAATTCAGTAAAAGGTTAGTTTCTCATTACTTACGTATTAGCCATAACCATTACTCAATAAAAAAAAGTAAGTAGTTGTAATATGGAATGATATAAAGTATATTGATATTTTGTGGATCCTGTCATTCCAAGTTCATTCAATCATTTAATATTGCATTTTCACATAACGAAATAATGCACTAGACCATATATTGTAATGCTAAATGGTTATCTAAGTAGTGTATCTAAAAAAAATAGTGTTGAACCCGTGGTCAACCACGGTCCTATAACTATTGATTTTTTACAATCGTTTATAAACGGTAAATGCATTTAATTAGCACTATTATAAAATATATGATAACTGCTTCCACTAAACTAAACGGTTATATAAGTATAGTAATATAAAAAAACTTTGTTTACAATTTTAGATTAATACTTGAGAAGTTCTAATGTTAATTTGCTTATCTCATCTCAATTGTGTTAAAAATACTCCAATAATTAGTTCTTAATGAAATAATATTCAAAAATACATTTTTAGAGTCTAAATTTCCATTTCAATTACATATAAAGTATGTTAAAAGTCAATAACTTTTTTTTAGATTTCCATTTCAGTAACTGCTTTCTTCACATGCCTCCAAAACGACGACATATGGCTTCTACTTCCAATACAATAGTGTCCTGTCGTTCACGTCGATCACGCAGGAGTTCACTTTTAGACGACATACCAGCATTGCCTTTTTATTATGACTGTGGGAATTGTACCTGCGTATGTGAGTATTGTGGGGCTTTTTTTTGGTATCAGGAGAGAGTATTGTATCTATCTCGAGCCAATCATCCACGCTATACCAAATGTTGTAAGTCGGGTAATGTAGTTCTTCCCTACCCTCTTCGTCCACCTAATGTGCTTATGCAATTCTACGAAGATGATCACTTCATGAATAACATAAGAGCATATAATTCCATGTTCTCTATGACGTCTTTTGGTGCAAACGAAGACGACTCAATCAATAAAGGTCGTGCACCATATGTGTTTAAGGTTAGTGGTCAGATTTACCATTGGATAGGATCTTTTTATCCTCAAGACGTTCATCCACCCCGTTTTCTCCAATTGTACATGTGTGATACTGAAAATGAGGTTGCTAATAGACTTCATTCTTTTCATGGTGAGGGCAAAGTACTTTTGTCTGCAGATGTTGTAGATTCCTTAAGTCATATGTTACATACACATAATGAGTATGTTCGTACATTTAAGACTGCAAAAGAAATAGCTCAGTCAATGAATTTAGATTCATATGGTGTACGTTTATTTAATGTAGTACCTGACAGAAGATATGGGCCACCCGCCCCTGGAAGTTTAGGTTGTATTGTTTGTGGTGATGATGTTACTGGGGCTATGTATGACATTGTTGTCTATTCAAAAATTGGGTCACCTCAACGTGTTAGTAAGCTTCATCCAACTTACATGCCTTTGCAATATCCATTACTATTCCCGTACGGCGAAGAAGGATGGTCTCCTGCCTTGAATCTACGTATTAACTCTAACAGAAGTTTAACAAATAATATGTATTACAGTTATCAAATTCATGATCGACACACTTACTCTCTTATTTTACGTTCACGCCGTCTTTTCCACCAATATTTAGTGGATGCATATACTTGCATTGAACAATCTAGGCTTGACTTTATTGAACACCATCAGCAACAATTACGTATAGAGTACATCAACGGTGTTTACGATGCTTTGTCCAAAGGTGATACAGACAGTCGTGTCATTGGAAAGCGTGTATTTCTACCTGCAACTTTCGTTGGGGGACCTAGGTATATGTATAAACACTATCAGGACGCTCTTGCCATTTGTAAGGTTCATGGTAAGCCACAATATTTCATCACTTTCACTTGCAATGTTAAATGGCCTGAGTATAGAAGATACATGGATGATATTGGTCAACGAGATATTCAAAACAGACCAGATATCATTGCACGCATCTTTAAAATCAAAGTTCATGCTTTCATTAACTTCCTTAAAGAGGACAAAACTTTTGGAGATGTCAACGCATGTAAGTATATATTCTCTTATTTCATTCTTCTTATATTTTTCCTTTTATTCCTTTTATGTCTTATATAAACTCAATTAGAAAATATTTTTGTTCACAGATCTATACACCATTGAATTCCAAAAAAGGGGTTTACCACATTGCCATACATTATTATGGGTTACATCACCCTTTAGAGTTCAAGAAGGTGCAGATATTGATAAATACATAACCGCTGAGCTTCCTGATCCTATACTTGAACCAGCACTATATAGGACTGTTACTACATGCATGATACATGGTCCTTGTGGTTCACTGAATATTGGTGCCCCATGTATGGTAGATGGTAAATGTATGAAACGATTTCCTAAACCATTCAACCCATTAACAACTTTTGATGAAAATGGTTACATGCATTATAGAAGACGTGATGGATCATATCATGTCTTACAAAGTGGGGTTAGAACTGATAACGGCTTTGTAGTGCCGTATAATAAACGTTTGTGTAGTCGATTTGATGCTCACATCAATGTGGAATATTGTGGTTGGAATATGATGATTAAGTACTTATTTAAGTACATTTCAAAAGGGGTTGATCGTGTTCGTTTCACTCTTCAAACATTAGAGGCAAATACAACTGCTTCTTCCTCTACCATACCTGTTGTTGTAAATGAAATCAAGTCGTTTCTTGATGGTCGATATATATGTCCACACGAAGCAACATGGCGCATTCTCAATTTTCCCATTCATGAACGAGATCCACCTGTACAAGTCTTAGCCGTCCATTTGGAGGGGATGCAAACTACCGTTTTCAAAGAAAATAGTCAATTAGGCTCTTTAATTGATACCCCCGGTTTTGGTGTTACGACTTTAACGGAATGGTTGCACAATAATCAACATGATGTTCGAGGAATTGACTTGACATACAATGATTACCCTTCTAAATATATTTGGGACACCAATGATAAAAGATGGATTCATAGGACTACCACAACAAATACTACTATTGGTAGACTTGCATATGTACATCCAACAGCTGGGGAGTTATTTTATCTACGAATTTTACTATTCCATCAAAAAGGATGTAAATCATTCTATGACATTAGAACCGTTCGTGAAAACATATACTCAACTTTTCGTGATGCATGTGAAGCATTAGGGTTAACTGGTGACGATAAGGAATGGCTAACAGCATTTGAGGAAGCATCGTCTTGGGCAACCTCATCTGAACTTCGTTCTCTCTTCTGTCATCTACTTTTGTATTGTGAAGTAGGAAACCCTCTTTTGTTATGGGAAGTCGCAAAACCTAAAATGGGCGATGACATAGCCTATACATTAACAACCAATTCTACAGATCCCAATGTAATTCTACGTGTTGATACACTAGAACAACAAATACTTCTCGAAATTCAAAAAACACTACTAGCTTCAACACCTTCCAAATCACTTGCTGATTTTGGATTGCCAATGCCATGTCCATCCCTCCTTTCCATTCTAAAAAATCGTCTTCTTCTTGAAGAGACTAATTATGATACAAATCTCTTGATTTCTCAAAATTCATCCATGGTATCACAATTAAATCCAGATCAACTTACAATTTATGAAAGAGTTGTGGATGCTGAACGAAACAAAAACCAACTTCTATTATTTGTATACGGATCTGGTGGTACAGGAAAAACTTTTTTATGGACGACTATACTTTCATATTTTAGATCTAAGGGAAAGATAATACTAGCTGTTGCCGCCTCAGGTATTGCATCCCTTTTGTTGCCTTTAGGTCGTACTGCTCATTCTAGATTTGTTATTCCAATTGACTTTACAGACAAGTCTTCCTGTAACATTAAAAAAAAAACACAATTAGCGGAACTCCTAAAGAGGACTTCTATGATCATATGGGATGAAGCTCCAATGAGTGATCGTCGTTGCTTTGAGTTTCTGGATAGATCACTAAAAGATGTCCTTGAAGATGATAACCATCTTTTTGGTGGGATGTCAATTCTCCTAGGAGGTGACTTTCGACAAACTCTTCCCGTTCAACCTAAAAGTAGAAAATCACAGATAATTAGCTTGACTCTACCTAATTCCTATCTATGGTCACATTTTACGGTATTCAAATTGCATCAAAATATGCGTTTAGCCCAACCAGTTAATTCAAATATGGATGTTAATCGAATATCACAATTTGCTTCATGGCTTCTCGATATTGGAAATGGAAATATTAGAACACCGGACAAGAATGATCTAGAAAACACAAACATTATACAAATACCTCATTGTTTCCTTATCGAATCAGGAGACAAAGGATTAGAATCACTAATACATTTCGTATATGGCAAAGATATAATTTCCAATCCATCGCCTGAAGAGTTATCAGTTAGAGCCATAATTTGTCCGAAAAATGAAACAGCTGATCAAGTCAATGATTTAATTCTATCAAAAACTAATAGTCAAGAAGTGGTATACAACAGCTGTGATTCTATTAAATCACAAACCCATGATAGCTTAGAATTAGATACCTTATATCCTCAAGATTATTTAAACAATCTTCACTTTTCTGGTATTCCTTCACATAGATTAATTTTGAAAGTTAATACCCCAGTTATGCTAATGAGGAATATCAATCAAAGAGAAGGTCTTTGTAATGGAACACGTTTAATCGTTACACAACTATTACCATCTGTGATTGAAGCTTCCATAATAACAGGAATATCTGTTGGGAAAAGGGTGTACATTCCAAGAATAAAATTTGTACATAATACCTCTGACCTACCTTTCATATTTATCAGAAAACAATTTCCTATTAAAGTATGTTACGCAATGACTATAAACAAAAGTCAAGGACAATCTCTTAAAAAGGTAGGTTTATACCTCACAAACTCTGTTTTCACACACGGACAACTATATGTGGCTTTGTCTAGAGCTACCTCGCCAGATTCAATAAAGATTCTGCTACAACAAGAAGAGGCATTACCATTCAACTGTACCAGAAATGTCGTCTTCAAGGATTTATTAGCAAAAGTTAATATGCAAGAGGTTATTACACCACATTTTATTTTTAAATCCATCTAATAACTAAGATAATATTATCACCCAATATCATCTTTTCTACCTGTTTTGCAATTATACTTATTTAAACATCTAATACCTAAAATACATGCTACAAATAACCATCATATTGTTATGGAAATATTCGTACATTCTTTTAAGATAACATGTAACATTAACAATATTTTTTTTCTTATTTGCAAAGCAATCTCCTCATACATGGATAGAATATCAAACCTTCAATTTGGTTCACCAGGGAATTCACTTGAAATTCGTGTCTTGCGAAAATGGACACTACAATTTAGAAAGGACGAGACATGGTTTATCGTGATTGACAAGCATGTAAGCATATATATATATATATATGTGTGTGTGTGTGTGTGTGTCTGTGTGTGTGTGTGTATATATATATATATGTGTGTGTGTGTGTGTGTAAATATATATATATATATATATATATATATACACACATACACACACACTCCTATACAAAGTATTCATATATAAAACCACCCTAACACATTTATTTGAGTAGGGAGATACAATTCAACTACTTGCACAAAAGACAAATCAAGGGTGCATAGAAACTTCATTAGTAGTCTCTCGATGTTATCGTATTAAGGACTATACATGCACTGAGCCAGACAAATATCAAAAGGTGTTAAATTACCCAGTACACATGAATATTGGTGAAGCATCAACAATTGAGGAAATTCCAAACCATAATGCCCTTCCTCTAACATGGTTCTCCTTCAGTCCGAGATCACACTTTCAAATAATAGCAGACAAAAACTTGGAGCATCCAGGTACATTTATAACATCCACCCAGCATCATTACTTCTACGAAACAATTTCTTATGTTCTAAATTTGTTACTAATATTAAACTTACAATTACATCAGATTTCATAGGCGTACTCATCGACATGAAAGATCGCACAAAAAAAAACAAGGAACCATTCATAGTTATCACTCTAACTGATGAAAAGTAAGTACATATATTCAAACCAAAATGTATTACCTACTTTATATACTTGATTAATATTGATGTCAACACCGATTCAAGTGCGGAAGAGATTACCATACTCTTATGGAAGGAATGCATAGATATGCCAGGCAAATTCAACCGAAATGCCCTTACATCAAACTCTAACACGGTTGTACTAGCTTTCACCAATGTCAAGTCCACTATGTACAATGGTAAGTAATAAAGACCTTTTTGTTATACTATTCACTTCAAACTAACCTAAAATACCATCTTAACTACACAGGAAGATTAACATTGACAAGCACCAGCGCCACACACATGTACGTCAATCCTAAAATACCAGAAACGGACAAACTCATTACAAGGTATCCTATACTTCTTCTACCAAGTCTCAACCATACTGAACCAAACTATATACTATATATTCACTAACAAAGTTTCCATAAATACAGATATGGTACCCAATTTCATTCAAAATCAACAGCAACTGTGATAAATACTACATTACAACGTTTAAAAACCTCAAATTTCTCTCAAATAGTGGTAAGTAGTTTTCTTTTGACAATTACTACTATTTCATACATAACAGTCACTAATATACATCTACAACTATTCAAGGACAAAATATATGTTTTAAAGACCACACTATCTGATTTCACATTCAAAGATGAATGGTACCATGTACCATGTACCACATGTGGTAAATCAACCCACAAAAAAGGTGATGGATGGTTTTGTGTTTCCCATGGGCCCATAAATGAACCAAAACTTTTGTAAGTTCTCGCTCTCCCATGATTACCTTAAATATCTATTAAAAACACACACAACATTACCTCTTTTTCCACAGTTATAAAATCTCAGCAGTACTCGAAGACAATACAGATACCACAACAGTTTTCATGTCTAATGAAGCAACCCAAACTTTGGTAAATGCGAGTGCACAAGAAATCATAGACCGCTTTCCCAGTCAAGATAGAAAAACTTTACCTCAACCACTCGAACGTTGCAAAGGGTTGACAAAAAATGTCTATGTAGAATGCACAAAACTTTCATCCACTAAAAATATCCGTTTCACAGTCACCACAATCACTGACATAAAGACTCTACAACCAATAGAACAACAAACAACACCTTCAACACCAATCAAACAACAAACAGCAACTATGGAGTCCCTCACCCCTACTAAATCATGTGAAACTGGAAAACGCCTACAAATGGAACATACAGGTAAAAACAAATTAAAGCGGTTTATCTTAATAGCTGACACGTAACAAACATCTTACATTCCACAGAAACACCAAAAAAACCACGTTCAAAACGAGAGAAATACAAATGCCATGGTGAAGCAGACGAAGGAACACATCCCAAAAAGCAGTGAATCTATGTGATCTTTTCATAACATACTTACAGTTACCCTATACTCTCTATATAATATTGCTTTTCGTCCATATTCAATAAGAACTGTCATATAATGTTAACAAAAATAATCTGTAAATATTCATTAAAACTGTTAAATTAATAATAATAATAAAAAACAGACAATTGTTGTGATCTTTTGTTGTATCTATGAATTAGAATGATATCTATTGACATTTACTTTTCAATTTGTAAATTTGTAGTATTTAAGAGTTTATTGTTCATGTTTATAGACGTGTGTGTAACAAGTGTAGGTAAATATTGTTTCATTATTGTTCATCTCATATAAAATACAAGTCTATTCTACGTTGTAAAACCAGTACATTTACGACCTACTTCGATTTTGAATCCTTTAAAATTGCACCTACATAAACAAAGTTATTTCTTAGTTTAAAGATTTTCATGCAAAACTTTTTTTTCTTCAACTATATACATATATCAAAACCGGACAATATAAAACTTTATGACTCTTAGACTTTTACCATATAACTTTACATATATTCACCATTTATATTTAGAATAATGTCTCTTGACTCTGTCGTTCGATGTTTTACACATTTTCTCGTCCAAATTCGATATTTCAATTTCCACCATCAACACCTAATTATCTTCTAAACTACTACCAAACATCCACCTTAAACGTGACCCGTGGTTCACCACGGGCTCTTACACTAGTTATTTAATTAAATGACATCCAAATGTACAAAATATGATGCTAAATTCTAATGAAAACTACCATTAAATATGCATAATATGAAATCTAACAATTCTCTCAAAGCTTAAACCTTACTTGCCCTCAAGTAAGAAAAAGATTAAACATTATAAACAAATAGAAAGATGTAGATAACCTAAAAAAATTAGAATAAAATAAAAAAATAAAAATACTTCACTCTTTATATATATATATATATATATATATATATATATATATATATATATATATATATATATATATATATATATATATATATATACTAGGTAGTTTTTGAGGGTCGTGATAATCACGGCCCATGATGGGTAATTTTGGTATTTTTCTCAAGAATGGTTTGGACAAGAGTGAGTTGGATGTTTCCATTAGTTTTCAAAATAGAACATCTTCCAAAAGTATCAATATTGTCAGATACTATATCTAAGAATAAGAAGAATAAAAATAGAATGACATAATAGTACATAAACAAATGAAAATATTTTGCTATTTTTTGCATTTAGCCCAAAGATTTATGAGTTTCTTTGAAAAGTTGTAGCATCTGAAACTTCAGCACCCCTAGTTTTCAGATCCTGAAGTAGAAGGTTCGATATGGAAGCTATTGCCAATACTGTAAGCTGCCAGGAAAATGAAAATTAAGCCATATCATGCACATAAGAATTATCCAAACAAACAACTAAACCAGAAACCGAAAATTTGATTCGGTTTGCTATATTTCTTGTCCGAGTCACTGGACCACCTTAAGTTGTTGAATTAAAAGCTCAACTATCTCATTTGTTTGATATTTTTTTCACAAAAAATTAATTATTACCAAACATTAAAACTTCATAAGAGAAAACAAAGTGATTGTATTTCTCTTGAAATTCAATAGATGTATAAAACTATTAGTGAGGTTAGACAGATAACTCATACCGAACATATTTGGTAGATCTGATTCATTTCTGTTTTCAACTTGTTCAAAAATCTCTTTCAAATGCAAACAGACAAACCATGTCCAGTAAATACATTCTAAAAAATCAAATATATACAACACTTACGCTACAAAATCATTATTGACAAGTCAACAAAAATATATTCTCTTCGATTATAAATAAAAATTATTTTTTGTTCCTTACTACCAAATTAAAATGCCACTCAATAAGATTCAAGTCAAATTCTACCCAACAAGGCATCAGTAGAAGGTCCGTTTCTTAGGTATGCACCTTTTTCTGAAAATGTGGTTAGGACTCCATATTTTTTATTGAATTTGGTGATAGGACTATAAGCTTTTGGCTGAATTTAAAAAAAAAAAAATTAATGTTGCTTACTTGATTTTAGTGTGGTATATTATCTGTAAAAGAAAGGTGTTTGAAAAGTTTCTAGAAAAGTAAAAAGATATAAACTAATTTCCATTCATTTTTCCCAATAATCAGTCTAATTACAACCGAATGTGTTCCAATCATGAATCATAAGCCACTCCTTTTTCAATATATAATAAGACTATGACTAATAGTGCTCCAAGCTAATATCTCTTAAACAAACAAACAAATTGTCAAAATATAATAGTCACGGATACCAACACTTGTATCGTAGAATTATGTTCACAAGTCTTAGGTGCTTAAACACTTGGAGAACGATTATCCATGGCTAAAACTATTTAAAAATTCAGATCAGAGATTAAAAATAACCTTTATATGTGATTGGATCGGGAAAACAAACTCTTTATAACCATTCGAACAAAGCCAAAACTAACTGCATTGCTTTTTTATCAATGCATCAAGGAAGTTTTGCAAACCTATTAAGAAAATGTTCACAAGTCAAATGAGAAGTTGCTAACTATCAGTAAGAGTCCAATAAATATATGCTAATGGGGATATAACTCTATTGTAGAGTATTAAGAAACTAAAGAAGCATACAGTCTAAGTTAGTTGGTTTATTCTGGTTCTACTATTTTCCTTTTGATTTAATATCTTTTTTTAAACAGCTCTTCATTTCATTCCTCCATTCGCCCTAGGATTTCACAAGAACAACTCATTTATATCCCATATCAATTCACAAGAAAAAAAATCGTTCCTCACTGTCTTATGTGCTGTTGAAATTTCAACCACCACCCCTTGAAATTTTTTGTCCTTCTAAAAAATCAAAACAAAAAACAACAATTATATTGAAATTTATGCACATCGCAGAAAAAAAAAATTGAAACCAAATTCAAATTTGTTTAATTGGAAAGTTGGAAAACCACATACTGTCAAAAACTAAAATAAACATAAAAGCATTGAATTTTCGCCATAATTCTAGTAACTAAGAGTGAAACAATCCAGAAACCAAAGCCAAAATCGAAAATAATAAAAATATATGAAAAAAATACTTGCGTTAACCACACTGATAGTAAGAAAGAACTTTTAGTTAAAATCTGAAACATAATTCCACAATTGATTAATCTTCAAAACCAAGAATAAACAAAGATTAGGATGATATTAGATTCTTAGCACATTTAAAGAGAAGATTAGAATGAAATCATGAACGTTCATCAGAAAGCATATAATAAGAAATAACATTTAAATTGAATCCAAAACCTACAGTCCAAATTGATTAATCTTCAAACCCCATACAAATAGAGAATAAATAAACAGTGAAATACAAGGACTATAACATATTTAGAAAACGTACATGATAAGCGGGAGAAGGAAGAGGAACCGTTCATATAATTTTTGGATGTAGGTGAAACGTTGGATGCATAAAATTTCTTCAAGAATAAATGTTTTCGCCGTTGGAAAAACCACCTGTCTGTTTTCTCTTAAACAGAGACGTATATCCTGCAAATTTATTTCCAATAGATAAACTAATAAACCCGATTTGAAGTTAGGGTTTTCCATAATCGAATGTCAACGGTGCTTATTCTGAACCTTATACGCGCCCTGGAGTTGTGGTCAATGGAGAGCGAGGAGTTGATGGATGAATGGAGAAGGGTGACAATACATCGGCAGGAGGGAAATAGCGTACGACTCTATAATTCCGTGATATAAAGAGGATACGGCAAACAGAACAATATCGATGGCACCGTTCAGGGAAGTGGGTGACGTGGCGTTAAAATAAGCGGGTTCAACTGATTTACAAAGCACCAGATAAATAGGCCTTAAATAAGTGGGTTAAATTGATCGTTTTTTTGCTGAAGAGAAAGTTGGAGTTGCTCTAGAAATTAGAAAAGACAGAGTATGCAGATGAATGCAGTGGATGTTTTTGGTTCCGGGAGAATGGGTACTAAACGATTTGATGGATTGTGCAGGCGATCCGACGGAACCAACGCATCCTTCAAAGGTTGAATGTGAGGAAGATACGTCACAGTGGATCATAAGGCAATTTGAATCGACGTTAATGTCCACAGCGCCGTTCCAGAAGATTGGTTACGTGGCATCCAAAGAACCGGGTGAATTTAATTTAGAAGGCACGAAAAAAATTAGTGTTTTCATATATATATATATATATATATATATATATATATATATATATATATATATCATTACTATATATAAACAACTACACTTTACATTGAGGGAATTCCAATCACTACTACCTAGATGACCATCTTGCTACCTTCCATGTGTCATAGACTCCCAAAGTGAGGAAGATCACGAAACGGTGTAACTCAATAGTCCAGCCATAGTTTTATTTAATCTTTACACCTGAATTAGCTTTGTGAGTGAAAATAACACAGTCCAGGATCTCATGTCCTTAAGACTAGATAGTAAAGAACCAGAATCGACGCATCCTTAAGAACCCGTCACGGTAAATCAGCTTTTGCTGAAGCAGTGGACCTCTCCCATAGGGGCCCAGCTCCTATGCTTTCACTTTTTCGAGAGCCACAAATATCATATCACATAGTTCTTCATTCACCAAATTTAACTTTGAGATGACTTCTGATTTGATTGAACTTTAATTTGTATTTTTGTTTTTGGCTTGAGTTCTTCAATCAACTTTTGAATTTCTTAATATTCCTTCGATTAAGTGCTTGGAATTTTTATTTGGGTACTAGATATGACTGTTTTACGATTTCTTCCTTCTTGGCTATGTGGATCTGATATAAGGTGTAACACCCAGAGTTCCGAGGTTCAAGTTCAAGGTTCTTAGTGTAAATAAGGAAGGTCGACTCGCCGAGTCAATGGATAGACTCGGCGAGTCGAGTCGCGATTTTGGTCAAGTGTTAAGTGACCAACTCGGCGAGTCGGCGGCTGGACTCGGCGAGATGGTTTTGAAAGGAGAAAACCCTAATCTGGGGATTATGCCATATATAAAGCACATTATAGCCACCTTCAGCCTCTTAGCTACCCATTTGAGATCCAAAAACCCTCATCTCGTGTGTGTGACTCCATTAATGAAGAATTAGAGCTTAGAAGAGAAATTTGGTGTAAGAAGCTTGGGGATTTGGAGGCCATCATCAAGGGGCTTGGGTAG